CCTTGGCCTCCAAAGTGCTTGGATGAGCCACCACGCCTGGCCGCAAGTCCTGCTTTTTAAATGAGAAAGGCTAACCTATATTTAAAATGAATGCTGAGGCAGCATACAGTTATAAAAATTTCTCCAGGTGCAGTGGCTCATCCTGTAAGCCCCACACTTTGAGAAGCCAAAGCTAGAGGATCACTTAAGCACAGGAGTGTGAGACCAGCCTGGGCAACATAGCAAGACATTGTCTCTACAAAAAAAAATTTTTTAAGTGAGCCAGGCATGGAGGCACACATGCCTGCAGTTGCAGCTACGTGGGGGACTGAGGTGGGAGAATGGTTTGAGCCCAGGAGAACAAGGGTGCAGAAAGCCATGCTTGCACCACTGCAGTCCAGCCTGTTGAGACAGAGTGAGACCCTATCAGAAAAAGAAAAGAAAATACCCTGAGTCGCAAATGCATTGAATACGCCTAACCTGGAGGACATCATAACTTAGCCCAGCCTACTTTAAACATGCCCAGAACACTTACATTGGCCTACAGTTGGGCAAAGTCATCTGTCCATACAGCCAACTGTAGAGTATTGGTCATCCAGCCTAGTGATCCTGTGGCTGGCAGAGCTGCAGTCGCTGCCGCTGCCCAGCATCACAAGAGAGCATCGTACCACATATGACTCACCTAGGGAAAGATCAAAATCCAGCATTCAAAATATAGCTTCTACTGAATGCACATCGCTTTCACATCATTGGTAAAGCAAAAAAACTTAAGTTGAACCTTCGTAAGTCAGGGACTTTCATGACAATGTCACCTTTTGTTCTGGGCCCCACTCAAAACTGATAGCCTTTTAAGTTATTCAGAAAATGGATCAGAGAATAACATTCAAATGTGGTATATGTTGCCTTCAAAATCCAAATCCACTGAACATTGTGCCTCTTTCTTTGTGGTAGTAGGGCCCAGTTCAACATACCCCAGACCATAAGGCCCCCAGAAGTTTCACTGAATTTTTGTGGGATTTATTTCCCACCCTCTGGCACACATATGTCTCATCAAGGTGGCTAGAATAATTACTACTTCTAATCGGCATATTATCAACATACTAGACCAGTGCGATATCCTGTGGAGCAAAGAGGTCTCTGCAAACTAGATGATGACAGATGACTGGGAGTTGATATAGTCCTGAGTTTGGATAATGAATAGGTATTGCTAGCCCTGTCAGCTCAGAGCAAACTGCTTTTGATGGTACTTACTAAAAATTACTGAGGAAAAAAGCATTCTTCAGATCAATAGCTGCATACTTTGTTCCAAGGGATGCACTGATTTGCTTCATGAAGGAAGGCTCACCTAGAATAGCAGCTGCAAATGGAGTCACAACCTAATTGACTTTATGATAATCCACATCATTATCTAGGATCCATTTTGGATCTGCACAAGCTAGAGAGCTAAGTTGAATGCAAATCACCAGCTCTGTGTCTTTCAAATAATTGATTAGTGGTGGCACTAATCTCTGCAATCTCTCCAGGAATGCAGTGATGCTTTTGCCTCACTGCTTTTATAGGTAGAAGCTAATATTTATATGGTTAATCTTCCTTTTTTTTTTTTTTTTTTTTTTTTGAGATGGAGTCTTGTTCTGTCACCCAGACTGGAGTGCAATGGCACAATCTCGACTAACTGCAGCCTCTGCCTCCTAAGTTCAAGCGATTTTCCTGCCTCAGCCTCCCGAGTAGCTGGGATTACAGGCACATGCCACCACGCCTGGCTAATTTTTTTGTATTTTTAGGAGAGATAGTGTTCTACTGTGTTGGCGAGGCTGGTCTCAAACTCCTGACCTCAAGTGATCTGCCCACTTTGGCCTCCCAGAGTGCTGGGATTACAGGCATGAGCCACCACTCCTGGCCTCTTTTGTTTGAGACAGAGTCTCAGTCTGTTGCCCAGGCTGGAGTGCAGTGGTACAATCACAGCTCAACTGCAGCCTCAGTTTATTTCTTTCAGCCTCTATTTTTCATTTTCTTTTCCAATTCAGTGTCATTTATATTGTCTCTGAAACTTAGCTTCCTTATCTGTGAAATACAGATAATGATGCCAGCCTTACTTCTGTTCAGGGGTTGTTGTAAAGCTCAAATGAGATTGTGTTAAAATACACTGAAAATTATAGAACCCTCTACAGGGTGTAAGGAATAAATGCTAGAATTATTATTACCTCCTTCCATCTCCTCTTATATAGAAAACTGAGATTATAGTCCCCTTGTTACTCTTTCAATCTATGTTTTTTGTTGTTTTTTGTTGTAAGTACTTGGAATCCACTCAAAGTAGTTTAAACATAAACAGGGAATCGAATTTGAAAGATCCAGGAGTGTCTCAAGAAGCTCAAAATTCACGGGCAGGAAAGGCACTTACATGTCATGAGGTGGTGGAAAATTAACTGAAAAAGCATTGGGAACTGTGGTCATGAGAGGGTGCCTGTCGCATCTCTGACTGCCGAGATGCTGGGAGCAGAGCAAGGCCCCCTGCTGCTGGGCTTTGAAAACTGTTGCTGCATTTGCACTGAGATCACCCTTCCTGTGAGCTGCTCCCACCCGGTGACTGAGTTCAGCCCTGCCGTACTAAGGCAGGCCCATTTCTGGGAGATGGGGGACTCCTCTGAAAGGTGGCTTTGGCTCAAGCAGGCCACATCAGCTCTGCCAAAGCTTTCTTAGAACTATGCTACCTTTTAAGCTGGGCACTGTGATCATGTGTAGTCACAGCTACTCAAGAAGCTGAGGCGGGAGAATTCTTGAGCTAAGGAGTTTGAGGCCAGCCTGGACAACATAGGGAGACTGTCTCTGAAAAAAAGAGAAAGAACTACACTGTGTTCTAACACCTTAACCCATCCTTCCTCCCTTCCCGTCTCCTCGAAGGAGTTACACCTGTATTGCTCCTCTCCCAGGCTCTTCCAGCTCCCTCCCATTCCCTTCACAAGTGTTTTCCCAGCACATCTCCTGGACATTTAGTCCTATCTGGGCATCTCTCAGAAGACTTGAACCTTAGGACAGGAACCTAAGTAATTATTCTTTTGCAACTCCAAGTCTATGTGAACTGCTGCTTATTTTCTTTCTACTTTTCTACTTCCTTTCTGCTTGACTCTTCTTTCACCCAACCCCTACCTAATCTCAGCTTTTCCATTTATATAAATAAAAATGTCTGACCCACAGTTTCTAAATGTACATATCCTTCCAGTTTGAGCACTAATTGACCCTGATACCTTTGAATCCTCACTTCAAGCTCCCAAAAGAAAGAATCTAATGCCTTCACTTGGATTAGGAGCCCATCCCTGGTCCAGCTGTGGCAGTTATGGCCAAGGAGACAGGTCTCATGAAACAGTATTACTGAGATTCACATCTCAGCTGATGATCTGCCTTGTTTAATGAGAAAATGGAAACAAATCAGGTCAGGTGCAGTGACTTAACGCCTGTAATCCCAGCACTTTGGGAGGCCAAGGCAGGAGGATCACTTGAGCCCAGGAGTTTGAGACCAGCCTAGGCAACATGGCAAAACCCTGTCTCTACCAAAAATAATTTAAAAATTAGCCAGGCATGGTGGAGCACTCCTATGATCCCCGCTATTTGGGAGTCTGAGGTGGGAGGATCACTTGATCCCAGGAGATTGAGGCAGTAGTGAGTTAGTGAGCCATGATCTCCCCACTGCACTGGCCAACAGATTGAGACTCTGTCTCAAAAAAAAGAAAGAAAGAAAAAAGAAGAACGAAACAATTAGACCAGAACCACTTCATTTTCCCATCACCAAATCTACCAACCTATACCTGGACACACACTGCCTTTGTTTAAGATGAAAGCCCACCAGATGAGTATGCTCCCTGGGGTGATTTGTTATTCCACAGTAGATAATACAACCAGCTAACATAAGAAAGTAAAAGCAGACCAGGTGCACTGGCTCACGCCTGTAATCCCAGCACTTTGGGAAGCTAGGACAGATGGATTACTTGAGGCCAGGATTTCAAGACCAACCTAGCCAACATGGTGAAACTCAAAAATAGAAAAA